ACATGTGCAATTCCCATCCCATCGATCAGATACCTAGCAGGTAGCAGAAAGAGTACATAGAAAAATCACAGACGCACTGACCACTTTTGGGTTTTGAGATCCAGAATCTAGTGGGACTGTCCTGTCTGTCTGGTTGTGTGAGGAACTGGATTTGAAATAGGTAGAGTACCCGTGCAGCGCATTGCATAGCAGCAGGAGAAGGGTGGAAGCTCATCGAGTGTGGATGGGTGCTGGGATAGGAAGGTCCATGTGATTGGGCCGAGCTCTCTCTCTCTCTTTCTCTGTCTGTCACTCGAGAGAGCCAACAATCCCTCTGGCTGGCTTGCTAGCTGTGAGTGTTTTGATTCCCCAAGCAAGCAACGAGCACTCCGGCTCCACGAACCGCCTTTGTGGGGGAGTGTTTGTTGGGTGCGAAGGTTCGGCGGAGGATGGAGAGCAGGCAGAGAGGGAGGTACATGCTGTCTGTTGAGTATGTACGTTGACTGACAACTCAACGCATGCCTCCTGTCCTGTGGGTAGAGGATTAGAGGATGCCGCTGCCTGCACGGGGTTTGTTGTTTTTTTCTTTCTCTCTTACTGACTGCTTTACTGACTTACTGCTGACTGACTTGCTTGCTTGATGCTCTCAGTCACTCACTTGGACAGTCATCGTCATCACTGTAATTGACAGTGTAGTAATGTGGTGTTTAGGTACATGTACTCATGTAGAAGGTAGAAACATCGCAGAAAAGCTTAATTGCAAACCCACCAAGCAGAACCAGCTAGCTCCAAAGCCTCGCTCACTCACTCACTCACTCAGTCAGATAGACATGTAGAATTACAATTGCCATATATTATAAAAAGCAGTAAAATTAAAAAAAAAAAAAAAAAAAAATGCCTTATCGTCCGTCCGTACGTCTGTCACAATTGGGCAAACCGGATTAAGCCTTTTCCCGCCCGCCCGCGGCCTACTCTAGTTTTTCTACGGGTACCTTTTTTTTTATTTTTTGGGCTTCTAGAAGGGTTGGTGTGGTGGATGCAGCTTCTGGAAATGTTTTGGGGGTGCGCCGTACACGAACTGAGTTGAGGGTGGGCTTTGGTATCGTAATTGTGGTTGTGGGTGTGCGAAGCTCCGGCCGTGTGCTGCTCATGTGCCTAGAGAGCTAGAGGGCGAGAGAAGGAGAAAGAGATGGATAGACCAGAGCAGAGGAGAAGAGCATCGTGGTTACGTAGTTGCTGGTTACGTAGTTGCTGCCATACGTAGACCCCTTCGTCCTCCATTCCAATGCTCACGATGCTTGATGTTGACAATTCGCATACTTTACTTTACTTAGGTCTTACTGTACTACAGAAAGCTAATGTAGAGTATAGATATACGAACCCCGAGTGAGCTAGTGGATGATCCAGGTCTCGATATATCAGATGGAAACGACTCACACTCTCCTCTCCCCCCCCCCCCCCCCCTTCCTCCACTCCCCCACCTGGCCAAAATACCTGAGGGCAGCTAGAGTAGTAAAAATCTATCATTTATTTTCTGATTACTCGAGCTCGCTAATGTAATTCCAAAGAAAACCCATGATCTCCACTCCCCCCCCCCCGGGAGAGCGATCTGTTGCCCTAACCCGACCACTCCTCCCGTGGGGGCTAGCGTGCCTTTTTGCCTTCCGGTTCCGCAGTCCCGGGTTTTACTCTCCCATATGTCCGTATTGTTAGTGTGTGCTGCACATGTCTGCTGTGTCGACCACCGTTCCGTTCTCCTGCTCTCTCTGCCCGTGTAGACACTCTGCCCGTGTTCACGAGACCTCGAGCAGCACCCGCTCCGCCCCCACCCGGGTCCCTGCTTTTGTTGTTTTTTTGCTTTTTGGGAACTTTGAGTTCCCGCGCGAGATGTTTCAATCGATGGCAATTAAACATATGCGAGTAGACATGAACCCTAACCCAGCCCTGAGGTGGTGTTTCGGCGTTATGCGATCAATGCCGGTCCTAGCTACATATCTAGCTCTTTTCCCCCTACCTTGTCAGTACGAGTAGATGTTAGAGGTATGGTATAGAGAGACAGGGATAGCACCAGTGTAGGGATAATGGAAAGAATGCTACGATCATGATCATGGATATCTGCCCTCCCAGTCGAGGATCAAGATATTCACCGAAAGGGCCGTGTCCATGCGGTGCAGCTTGCTAGAGTATAACTTATTCCCATGTAGACCCCTCCCTCCTCTAATTCTCAGCCTCGATGCACGATTGCGAGGGGAGGGGAGGAAAGAGAGGGAAAATAAGATAACTGATATCCTTGTCGATAGTGTTGCTGACTGCGCATGCTTTGAGCCTCCTCCTCCTCCTGCTGTTCCCATGGGTTTGTGTGTTTTATCAGTCCGGTCTTATTTCTTCCGATTGGAAGTGATGGAGTGAGGGAGGGGAAGGGAACGAAGCGGCGGGTGAGGGGTTGTGACGCAGCAAGCGAGTGCACTGGGTGGGTGGTGCTGCACCGCGTAAAGCATCAAGATGGCTACTGCTCTACTCCAGATAGCTAGATATCTACAGCGCTGTACCACTGCCCATAGTAGTCAATAAACAGAGCGCCAATTAAGCTCTCCAGCGCATTAGCGACCACTGAAGTCGCATCAAGAATTGAGGCTGTTAATGAGGCTGAATGCACCCCCCCCGGATGCCCCTCCCCGGTCACTCTAAATTACCGACGCGGCGGGTGTCTTTCCTTACGGAAGAGCCCCATCCATTCCATCATCATCGAAGGGGGGCGCAGCACTCTGCTCTAACATATACTTACATGTACTTACGATAGAGTACTAGTGCGGCTTTTTTTTATGCTTAGGTTTGATCTTCATGCCCCGGGGGGGGGGGGGGGGGTGAAGGGGAATGATTGAGCCTCATGACTATATTTTTTTGCCGCACTTGGCCCTTGGGGCGGGCGGTTGTGGTTATGGTGGTGCTTGTATGTCGGGGTGCTGCGATGATGGTGGTGGTGGTGGAGGTGCTGCGATAGTGATGGTCTATGCTGGGATGGATGGGACGCTGGGGTGTATGAAGGCCGGGTGCTGATCAAGAACCCTTGGTTTCCGCGGGTGGTAATAATAATGAACTTGTATATGATATAATGAAATTTACTCAGCGAATCTAAGTGAAGCCGATCAAAGTAGAGGACTACGACATGATGTACAATCCAGACAGTACATGTTTCGTGATTTTCAGCGATCAGGGATTGTGGAGAGGAATTCGAGGAATTCTAGATGGTCAGATAGATAGAGAGCTAGATAATATGCCGTTGATTTTTCTTTCTTTTGCTTTTTCGACATATTTCTATGTAGCTTGATCTATTTCTATTTCTATTAATTCTCTGCTTTTCGCTCTGGAATTTTTTTTCTTTCGCTTTTTTGCTTTTGTTGTCCAGGCCCCCCCCCAGCTAGCTAGCTGGAAGATCTCGACTCATTCTTCACTCGCTCATGATCACTCACTCCATAATGAAAGTGCCGAACAAGAACAGGAACATTGCAATCGACAATTGGAATGCGGTCTACCCCTCTACCCCTCTACCCCCTCCTGCTCTCATGCTCTCATGCTCTCCGGGGCATGGTCCGTGTTTCATCATCATGAATGTCACCGGTGCATCTTCCTTTCTTCTCCTCCATGTCAGTCGGTACCTACATGACATACCTGGTATACCTACAACCTACATGTAGCTTGTACTCTCCCGGTATATACCTCTGTCATCGCAGCGCAGAATATAAACGTCCACCGCGCCGCACCGCGTCTATAATATACCGCTCTACTCTACTCTGCCGTCAGCACTAGCGCTCGTTTCAAATAAATGGAATAAAATACGCAAAAAAAAAAATTTATAATAAGAAGAAAACGTACGGACGTCTCACCCGCAGCTGGCTGGCAGCGCTCTCGTATATACATAGTAATTAGCAATCAGGTGAATTAGCAATCAACCAAACTAAGCAAGAAGATGTATGTACCTGTCCACTCCAATTAGCTAACTAACCAGGAAGCGTACTCTAGAGCAATTTACTCTACCTGTCTGTCCAGCGCTGTGGAGTACAGTGCTGCGCGCTGCATAACGTCAGCCCTACATGACATACACAGTATCGTTCGATCGCCATATTGTATGATATGTAGGTGATACAGGTTATATAAGTTCGATTACACGGTTTAGGGTTTCCCCTAGCTAGCTACGTCAGTGCGGTGCAGTGCAGTGTCGAGGGGTGGACTGATTGACCTGAAGAGTATCCATGCCCCCGGGTCTGTACTCTATGTACGTCTGCTAAGCTACTCTCGTTAATAATAAATTTAGAGTGTGTGCTGTGCGCGGGTCGCGCGCTCAGGCCTACCTACTATCTATCTCACAGGTGATAAGCAGCAGCGTACTCGAATGCGTGCGAGTACATCCCTTCCGAGTGCGGTAGGTACTGAACGAGCATAAGAGTACATGTAGATACATACAGTACTCTACCTAGAGTAGATAGACGTAGAGTGCTCTGCTGTGTGCAGGAATTAATTGATTACTACAATAACCTACGTGTAGTTACTTTGTAACGGGGCCATGCCCAACGTAGTAATTATTAGCTGTGCTCCAGAGTTCACCGAGCGATGTTGCGTGGTCTAGCCTCTGCTCTCCCCACGAGTCATAGAGCAAGCAGAGTGTGTGGAGTGTGGAGCAGCTACGCAGAGAGCGCCACAATCTACAAAGGGCCCTGATGGCTGACTAGACTCCTCTAGAATAAAGTGCCTATGCAACTAATGTAGATAGTCACGATACACGAACCTGACTGGTTAAGGTAAATAGACTTCATTTGATTCCTGTGGCGCTAATATTTCATACTAACTACAAAATGCGTACATGTATGTACCAAAGGAAAAAACCCTCAACACTAGAAAGTAATTGTGCGATATCCAGGTTAAATTGCCATTTCCGTGTGATGGCGAAGAAAAAAAGGTGTACTTGTAGAACTGTGGAGAGTGGGGGAGGGAAAAAATGATGATCGCCCCTAAAACTCTTCACTTCATTTCAATCTCTGCTGCTCTCCGTGTGTTTTCAGTGAATCTGAAGCCCTTCTCCCGGCAACTTGATCCTCGATCCTCGTGATCTCCCCCATAATATCCCCTACTGAGTGATCTATTTCCATCGCTAGGGCCTCTACTTCGGTCAATTTGTATCTCAACTCCTCCACCGGGCAGGCCACGACCTCCTTGTCCAAAACAAGGGCCTTCACATCCACCAAATGTTGCCTCACCCGACGCAGACTCTGGTAATTTTCATCCAGCATCTCTCTCTCAATCCACTTGAGATCCTCTGCTTTCATTTTCACTATCATCTCCGATAGCGTGTTGTCGAGGCTGCGCTCGGCTTGAACAAGCTTGACGAAAATAGGCACCCCCAGCTCGTGGAGTAGAGCCCACCTCAACCTTTTCTTCGGCAATACTTCGTCCACAGTATCTCCCAGTGTCTTGCAGAGGCCGTCCATCACCTTTGTGGCCATTCCCTCATCTGTCTTCTCGAATTCTCTCCACTTCAGCAATATTGGCCAGTACTTCTTCCAGAACGACTGAATCATTGACGCAGCCATGATCTCTGCCTTTGTGAGCGCCGCTTGGGCACCGTCGTCAGTGTGCCCGTTCTCCACCCTTTCATGCTTGGACGCCTTTGCCTGAGGATGTTTCTGCTTATTGAACGACGAAAGGGATTGGAATTGGCCCCTTTTTACCTTCCAGGCAGTCCGCATAATTCGGAATTTGCTATAAGGCTGTCGCAAACTTGATTTTTGGTACAGGGCCAAAGTTTCGATGCCGCTGTACGAACTACTGAACGCGTCCGCAAAGATGACCATGAACTTATTGATGTCAAGCTCAGATTCCTGAGCATTAATGGTCTTTTTATGGCACCAAAAGTTCCATGCTTGTATAATGCCCGTTAGGAAATCGTTTTCTGGAGCCGGCCTTATCTTGTTTCCAGTATACTGTTGCATATTGCATAAACATATTGCAAGCATATCCAGCACGCGTCTAATCAAGATATCTGGGCGTTTATTCCATGTCATCCGGAGCGTTGCGTATCTGCACGATTGGATCTTTTGAAGCGATTCAAGTACGTACTGGGCAATGGTCGCCAGAATGGTTTTGGCGGCTTCTGCGATCTCTCTGCACTCATTAAGGGGCAGGGCATCAAATGCTACTAGACATGGGAAGAAATATGTCAGATGGATCTTACGCCAATTATCTTTGATAAGAAACTCGTCGGATGATGATATAACAATCTAAGAGAGTAATCAATCTTAGTATTCACCATCCACAAACAGTAAGGGTGGCTAAAAGCCTATGGCTGGGTTTAGGAGGAGGGGGAACACAAACAAGGAATGCACAGCACTGCTCCCAGAAACCTATCACGCCATGGAAATATTGTACTTCCGGAGAATCCAGATCTAACTGCATAGGATGTATATGCCACATTAACTCAATCGCAAGCGCCAAATCTCCTTCCCTCAAGGCACTTCGAAGGCGTAGGATATCCCAGAAAGAACTAAATGGCTTTGTTTTTACCGGGCTCAAACGGCCCCAATCGATTCGGCTGATAATTTTTCGCCCGAAGATTTCACCGATATCTGAGAATAACCAGTCAGCATTTTAATTCTACCAGAATATCTTGGTCTGCGCTTACTTAAAGCATCGGCTAGGTCCACCTGTTGTAGAAGGAGCGAAAAGGACATATCGTTAACTTTCCAGCGGGTAATGCGGTAGTAGAGTAACTCCTCAAGCGCGTTACGCACGCCCCTCTCGGAGTCTCTCGGGTTTGAATATAGAGATCCTATATTAATTAAGGGGTGTGTTGTGAATTCGGACACAAAAGTGGTCGTAATGAGCAACTGCTCAAGCCAAGTACGAACTATTCCTCGCGTCAACAAAATCGCTCATAGACAGGGTTATCATAAGACCAACCTGTCCCTCTATATCTAATAGCATAAGCTACATCTCCAAACAGTCTTTGCTGGAAAGGGAGTGTAAGACATAGGATCATCTCTAGCGACGAGTTTAACAGCTAAATAACGATATAGTTAGTAAATATGTCGTTAGAAAAACAGTGGATAGAGGGACATGCTTCGAGTCTTGACAGGGAAATATCCCGGGACAGTAAAGAATGGGTATAATGGCAGCTGTTCTCCGTTTGGAACGTGCAGCTGCCCCAGAGGATAAACTCCTCGCACAATGACTCCTTTTTCAGAACTTTAATCGCATTATCCAGCAGAGAATAGACACTCTTGGCCATGTCGTCGGAAAGTTGTCTATTTAGCGCTTCAAAAGCTGAATCATGAGACATCATGATAGCCTGCTCGTTTGGTAAAAGTGGGCTTGGTGGCAGCACCCATGCACGCTGGGAGGGGTCTTCTTTTATGTAGGAGACACTGTAGAACCTTACTACTGCAGGTGGGAAACAGCCATCTTTATTGGCCTTCTTCAAGACCTCGGTACACCTTGCGAAGGATTGGAAGGGAAATTCCCTAGGGTCACATTTGACTCCGAAATAGTCACCATTGGCGACAATCTAAAATCGAATGGTGAGCAATGGTCATAATATTTTAAGGAAAAGGCAGTAAAGGACTTTATCTTACTAGCAAATCGGCGGTCAATTGTAAATCTTCGCCAATGTCATTCCACTTGGTTTCGTCCGCGGAAACTCTCCGCTCCTGAAATTGACCCATGACGAATCTTTCCAAAACCCTCCAATTGTTCTTTGTCTGTTCTCTAGCAAAGGATTTTTGGGAACTCAGTATGGAAGGGCGACTCTTAGTTATATCTAAACCTTGGCATCTCAGGAAGTCGTCAACCGAACGTTGCAGGCGTTTAGTCTCTGTCCAGCCGAAAATCTCATCCAATAGGTCGGTGGTGAAATCGTTCCCGAAAGCTCTAAACTCGATGATCTGAATAGCTTGAGCATAATCCCCCAAGCTCAGACACGTATTGACGGCCTTCATGAATTGCTTCGTCGTTATATAGTGCTGTATTAGTTCACGGGTCATGTCATACTGGATTAAAAAGGCCTCCTTCTCGGAGTCTGAACCCAGTAGCGTTATTGCCATAAGTTTCAAGTCCTTATCGGCATCCTTTTGACTTCTAAATAACACGTTAACGAGTCTGGCAAACTTGCGAAAGTTCACAGGCTTCATTTTATGGCCATGATCAATGAGGTATTGGAGTAGGTCGACGAAATAATGCCCTTCACTATATGCTGCTGCTGCCTTTTCGAAGTTTCCACAAAGATAGTATTGTTCCGCTGCTTCCTTCCAAAGGGACGCCCTGTCATAAAAGAGAGCAGCACGGTCGTGATCAGTACTTCTCCAAACCTCAGCTGCTGATTTCCAGTCGTAAATGGTGACGAAACATTTGGATGCTTGCTTTGGATGGTTTGATTCGCGGAAAAGTGTGCCAGCCTGTTTGAATAATAGCACAGACTCGGCAGGTTCTCTGTAGCAAATGTCAATTGCTTTCTGCTCCAAGATGTGTGCTTTAGAGAGACTCTGTCCAATTGAGTCTCCAGCACTCTGAAAACACCTCAAGGCCTGCAATCCACAAAGTCAGTATAAGGACCATTTTGGGGATAGGGGGGTTAAACGGATGTAATGAATATACTAACAGGATGCCAAAGCCTTTTTTCCAAGAACTCAAGGCCTTTTCGGTACCAGTCAGCCGGCGTGTTGCTTTTGCCTTGTCTCATATCCTTCATCATATCCGCGGCCTGTCGCGACGCACACAAAAAAAAAATTTAATCAGCAAGCTCAAAACCGGTTGATTCCTAGAAGCACATCTGGCCCCACTTACATTTTTATCACCCCTGAGAACAATATCCACTAACCCACCGTCAGGGCCTTTACTCCAGAGCCTCGCCATTGCCGTTATGTTTTCATCATGTTCTTCAATTAGCCAGAGCCTAGCTCGTGGTCTAGTGATAGCGACATACAGCCCTCTCAATTCCGCCGAGAGGACAGCATGCTTTCTTCTGTCAAACCCTAAGAGTCCTGTCCCTTGTTTGGTTTTCAAATCCTCCTCCATGGAGACCAAAGCTCTGAAGCTTGGACCCGCTGGGCTTCCAGAGAAGTAGTTGAAGAGGAGAACGTCATCAAACTCCATCCCCTTGCTCTCTACGATCGTGAGGATAAGATTAATCGTACCAATCTCGTCCCGCAGAGTGTTTCTTGCTTCATCATCACGGACCAGAATGACCTGCTCTGCACCGAACTCCGCGATATTTTCCACCACATCGACTGCGCCAAATAGTTTCTTGGAAAACATATCCGACGAAAATCCAACTACAAAAGGCTAAGATTAGCTTTATTCAGAAACTACTGAGACTACTGGGGCCGGGCCATCTTCTTTGAAGGTGTACTTACTGAATAGTTTTGGTTTCGGACCCAAGTAGTTGCCGACTTCTGGCTGTAGTTTATCTATCACATCAGGGAACACTACAAAAACCATGTCAGCTGGACCCATACAAACGTTCTGCAGCATTCGAGTTACCTTTCCAGAGAAGATCCACCACACTACTTGCCAATGCCAAAATCCCCTGGTGACTCCTATAATTCTTTGCCAACAAGAACAGCCTCGGTTTCTCCAAACTCTCTTCAGCTGTTTTTGAAGACCCATGCCCTCCTTTGATCACCATTGACCCAAAAAGTTGAAAGAACAGTGCCTTAATATCTTGGAACCGGAAGGTAGAATCGCGACTTATGCACTGCGCGGTGTCACCAGCCAGATGCACCCCTCTTGGGTTACCTACCACCCGCAACAAAATTTCGATCTCCCCAACACGAAGATCTTGTACTTCATCCACATAGCACTCCCCAATAGCTGTTTGTAGCCGTTCCAAAAGCTCGCGATCCTTACTCAGACCCTTACGTATATCTTTACATCTATCCAAATCATCCCACTCCCCTAGGCCTCGCCGGCGGTTCTCATATAACTCATACATCTTCCAAACAGTCTCGCGCTCTTTGCTGCCTTCCAAAAAGGTGGGCGCTAGCCGAGAAGAAAGTTTCAGATAACTTTGCTTTGTTAACGGGAGAAAGTCAGAAGCGTAGTTTCCGCCCTTGATTACCGCCATCAATTCGGCGAATACCAATTCGACCGAGATTCCCTTCCTTAAGTTTAACGAGAAAGATGGCCAATAGGCCCGCTTAAACTTTGAAAAGTCAACTCTGCGGTGCTCCCAGTTTAACTGTATTTCTGCCGAACTGGCTGGTGCGAAGTCGGTGCGATCAGAAATCCTGTAAAATAGATTAGCCATTGCTATGTTTAGATGTCCATTCAAAATGCGTACTTGAGCGTATTCTCTAACAGTCCACAAAATTGATCAAAGGTGCAGACGAGGGGCCAGCTATCTTTTCCAATAGTGAAAAGGTTTCTATCTGCATCGTCATGATCATGGTCTGTGCTTTCCCGAATTACGTGGGCCCCTGTGTCATTTTGCTCAACTTCCAATAGTGGGTTATCCAATCTCCCAAGCTGAGAGTCGATTAGTCGTCTTATATATCTTGCAATCTTTCCTGCAAGTATTGGACTTCTGGTAAGGAATATCTAAACAAAAACTCCACCGCCCAAACATTGGGTAAGGCAATCACGTGTTAGCATTACTTCATTATTGACCGAGTGATGGTTGATGATCCTACCTGTCGAGGCTCTAACCCAGCGCCTGTTCGTGTAAGATAGCCGGCCAGCAGCTTGAAAACCAAACAAGTCGTCTTTCCAGTTCCACTGCGTCCCAAAATCAACACAGAGCTTTTCCACCACCTGACTATCTCCGTCTCCTCCTCGCTCACGTCGAATGCAAATTCCGGTAGCACTCCGCATTTTTTAGATGCCTGAATACTCTCAAACATTTGCTCGTTCAGTGTATAAAACTTACCGGTAGTGAGAGCTTCGTGTAAGCCCAGAGCTTCCTCCCTTGATAGTTTATTCCCGCCCGAGTCGGTTCCTGTGGCTCCGAATTGTTCCCGCTTCAGAATGTCCTCGCTCAGCACGAACCTTGCGGGTAAGTGACGTAAGGTTCTACCCTTTCCCGTCTCTAATTGCCTCAACTTACATCCTCGAATGTAGTTATTGCTGTATCCTTTATGCGTCTTGAGAACGGTGGGAATACTCTCCAAAATCTCTTTATGATCGCCTATCCTCCATATCTTAATTATCTGTCTCCAGCCGCCCTCCAGCTCGTCCCAAGCGGCCTCGACGCCCCACAAAACTCTATAATTCTTACCGTAGACAGCTTTATACAGTTTCAACACTGCACGTTCGCCGCCATTGCCTTGCCATTCTTCCAAGATCCATTCCGGCTCTTTGTCTTCGTTCTTTGCGCCTTTCTTCCTTGCCCCGTGGTCGCTAGGAGGAATATTAGGTAACTTACTAGAATTGGCGCTCGTTCCCGCGAGTAAATGCGGTCTTGTCAAACTACGGCGGTTCCAGTATCCAGTTGCTAGCTCCTCCAGTATCTTCTTGACTATTTGGAATGTCCCATTGTGCTGCGTACCCATTAGGTCCTTCATTGCTTGTGTCGAAAGTATCACTCGCCATGGCCCCGCTAGTTGTGGAAACATGGAAGAGGGATCATAGGTACTAGATTCGGGGTTTCCATCTTCGGCGCGGAGGGTGTTCGATAGCTCATGATCCTCTGGTAATTCCGGTGGTGGGAGCGATTTTGCTTCATCGGCTTTTTCGGCCTGGCGTAGTTCTTCGGGTTTTTTGACTTTTTCTTTTCCCTTGCTTTTACTCTTTTTGCTCTTCCCGCCCTTGGGTTTTTCTTTATCTGCCAGGCTCCCGCCTATGTGATGGACTATCTCCGGGGCGACAGTACTACGTTCTACGTTGCTCCTTTCCGGAAGCCTAATCCCTGGCTCCACATCATAGAAACCCTTTCCTCTTACCACATCCCCAGCGCACACTTTACAACACGAGGCGCACGGAAAACTCCCCAAGATCTTTGCCAGTGTCTGGAAAGTTATCAGTGTTTTCAGTGTCTTCAACGCTTCCTGTACATCAGGAACTGACTGTGGCGATTTTACATTATTGCCCAACAGCCTCCGAAACATAATAAAGGAGTGTTGATCTAGCTGCGGTCTTGGTATCTCGATAACCTGACCTTGCGGCGGTAGTCGTGTCGATAGCTCTTCAGCCAGTTCCTCCACTGCTAGGGCGGAGAAGATGTTTTGGCTTCTTAGATCAGCTGCCGATTTTGGTTTTAGCGCACGCATCTTTTCTAGATCTGGGAGTTGTTTTGCGGCCTTCATCTGCTTTCTCAGAGCCTTCTTTGGATCTCCAGTTATGCGTGTGGGCCGTAGATTGTGTGCCTCCAGCTGCTTCTCAAAGTCCTCTAGCACCGATTTGAGGATTACAATCTCTACCCAGTCTGATAGAGCGCCCTCGACACTCGTGCCGTGGGATACCAAACATGATCCCACTAGTAGAGTGACACGGCACGTATAGAACTCTAGTAGCTGAGCATTGAAAACCTTTGCAACGGTGCTCTTCGATGCCATCAGCTTCTTCAGCACGTCACCGCCTGCCTTTGAGGAGATGAGGCGCTCGAGTAGCCCGACGCCGGGCGTCGTGTCGGGAATATATAGGAGACATTCTAGAACTGAACTAAGTGGCTTCAGAGATGCTTTTGAATTCAAAGCTTGCGGGATGTAGAGCTCCAGCACTGCCGTAATAAGATCCAAGAACTCTACGCTACAGAAAAAATGACTTTCATCCACAGAGGAAGAAGCTGACTTAAAGAGAGGGTGGATGAGGTTTGTGATAAATGTTTCTGGGATTGGAAGTACTGTGTGAGCACCTGCTGTGAACCCCGACCCTTTCGATTTTGGTTGGGTGCTGCTGGAGGAGGAAGCTTGAGCGCTGCTGGAAAGCGCATGAGGGATAATAGCTTGGATGAAGGTTGTGAGGCGGTGGGTGTAGTATTCGAAGCGACTGAAGTATATTTCCCTGTGGGAAGAGAGCAGAAGTGCGAGATCTGAGGTGTGAGTTGTGAGATAGCTGTATAGGGCAATGTTGACAGAGTAGGTGAGAGGCGTTCGGGAGAGGATTGTTGCGGTGAGCAAAGAATCCATCGCTGTTGTGTTTGTAGACATAGTGGATTTTGGATGTGTCGTTATCGGAAGCTATTTTTGTTTCGCTGTTTGTTTGTTTGTTTGCTATTGTCTGAGGCAGGTGAACGGTGATGGTTCAGGGCGACAAGCGGAGGGGAAGGTTGGCTGGACAATCAATTGGGCGAGAGACCAGTGAGATGACGTAGTAAATAAGGGGGCTTCGAAGTGAGGTAGAAAAATATCGATCAGGGTTGATAAATTAGCTACGATAAGCAAAGAGATTTTTGTCGAGCAACGGTGATGATGAATGGAGAGGGTGTTGACTACATGTATTTAAATAGACAAAAGGCTAGAGGTTTCAGGTTTAAGGGAGAATCAGGGAGAAAGAGCACAGGCAGAGCCTACAGTGCCCATATCTATAACCCTAGCAGGGGGGTGGTCCAAGAAACCAAGTAGTGATGGGCACGAGCCGAGCTCGCTCGACCTTAGAGCTCGAGCTTTAGGCTCGAACAGGTCGAGCTCTCTTAGTGACGAGCCCGAGCCAGCTCCAGGGCTCGAACACCTCGAGCCTTTGTCTCCACAATCCGAGCCAGCTCGAGCCCTACCCCGGGCTCGTCTCGAACCGGCTCGTGCCCATCACTAAAACCAAGATCCATAGAAAACCTGACAGGGCCGGAAATTTCGATGACGGCACCATACATCTTGCGCCAACCTGTGTAATGAGATATGATCTCCCTAAGTGATTATACGTTAGCATTCGCCAGAGACTACGTTACGGGTATAGTACCTTTACTGAAATAGAGGATTCGCACCTCACAGACTACGTTACGGACCGAGAACGATTTGGATGATCGGGTATAGCCACTATTATAAGATATATTTCAATGTGTTAGGGTGACCGAAAGGTGGAACCCTGACAAACTTCCAGCGAGTTGGAGTTTCATGAAATATCACTCGCACCCTCACCGTGCCATCAGGTTCAATGCACGCGGCGAAACCCATCCACTCAAAAATGCACTCCTCAGGAAGAAGAGTCTAGGAGGGGGGGGGAAGAGTCTAGGAGGGGGAGGGAAGAGTCTATGAGTGTGAAGAGGAGAACTTCCGAAAACAGTGGTCGATTTATACATTTTCAACTCTTGCCAGGTAAGCGACTACATGGAGTCATTGATGACGTGACACCTGTTCCTCACTTGCCAAGTCACGCTGGGCAAAGCGTGATTGCAAACTCCGCCAAAGTGGGTACAGCCGCCACTCGTTATAGTGATGGGGTCGGGACCGAAAATTGGTATCCTTATATCGAGGTTATCACTATATCGAATGATGGTTAGGTTTTCTCTGTGTGCCAGCGGATGAAGGTTGGGTTTTCTCCATGGTGGTGGTGGTGGTCGCGCGGGTTGCATGTTCCTTGCTGTCCATTCACAAATGGCTTTCTTTTCCGACTCTGAGAAGTGTTGTCTCTTTTGCTTATGCTCTATAACTGTAAGAATACACTACAAATAGGTGGGGTATGGTGTAGGATCGTTGGTGTGTTGAAGGATAGTGGGGTTGCGGGATCGGGTTGTAGAGTCACATCCACTCAAAAATGCTCTCTCGTTATAAGGATATCCATATAAAGTTACGCCAAATCCATAGTGATATTCTTATATACAATTATCACTAAACTACATACTAAAAAGTTGGGACCGCCAGGTGCCATCACTATAACGAGAATATCACTATATGCAGTATCACTATAACGAGAGGCGGCTGTAGAAGACTTGAAGTTAGCCATGTCTCCGCGCGCGAAAAGAGCATTATTTTCTGCTCCCAAAACTTTCTGGAGATCCAATAGATTTATATACTCAATATATATATTACCGTACCGTCATTTCCGTGATATGTAATGGCGAACATTGTTCGATGCCGAATTAGCCAATCAAACCCACCAAAAGCTCAAAAAAAAAAAAAAAAAAAAAAAAAAAAAAAAAAAAAAGCTAACAAAAGCGCGCCGACCAATTTGCCCTTGGGCTTACTACATATCAGCTCTATGGTTGGCTGAAAGCAGCTTGCCATTCGTCATTAACCCAGTTTCGCTATTATCCCCAGAAGAGACTAGACCCCTCGAGGTGTGAAAACCCCCATTTCCAGTTATCGCAAACATTCACCACAGATTTTTTTTCATAACCGAGGAGAACAAATCCTCCAGCCATTACCACCCCACCCACAATAACCAAATGCCAGAGCGAAACTGCCAGAGACCTCTCGATAAACAACCCATTCTACCACCCCCTTTTCCTACATACAATCCTCCTGCTTCCACCTCCAAAATATCAAATGAATTTTTCAATTCCGCACTTTACCTTCTTATCCCTGGGAAAAATACACCGCCCTCCATACTAGCCAGCTGGATTCAACGACAATGACTTGTTGAAGCTGTCTCTAAATCGTCTCAGTTACGGCCATCTGTTCACTTCTACAAGGTTTTGGGTCAGGAGAAGTCACTCGGCCGCCAAGACATTGTCGTTGGATGTCCTTAGTAAAGCGGTGGGTGATCTTTACTTTCCCTGGTCAGCCCTATCCTCACCTGGTGTGGTTCATGTGATCTATCCTTCTGGCAGGAGTGGTTTCTCGGTTCTTTCAGATTTTTTTTTTTTTTTTTTTCTAGATACGGTCAACCACGGTGTTTCGGAGAATGATCACCAGTTTTGCCGAAATTCTATTCTCGCAGTAAGTATTAATACGAAGTTATATTGATCGAGTGTTGATAGCTATGCTTACTACGGACCTAGCTAGTGTGGTGCCTTTACCCACAGTCCTTCTTGTTGTTTTTGGCAATATTTGCTTCGTTGTTTCTTTACTTCGTTAATTCCGTCCATACTGAACATGTTCTTGTCACGTCAGCTATATGTGTGTTCCTTTGTGGCTGTCTTTTTGCTCACTGCACAACGTGTTGAACATTTGCATTTGTTTACACTATCAATAGAGGACTTAATCCTCTTCATATTCGATAGATTAACACAATCAATCATCGTCTCACTTCCTCCTCTTTTCGCTAGCCAAACCAACACTTCTCGCCTCACAGACATCGGGAGAGCATTCCAGCTTCTCGTTTGGCTAGCTTGTGGTGCTGCTTCAGCTTCGATCAGCATCTGCCACATGCAACATTAGCGCCCGCCTGTCTGGCTGCGCGCTACCTATAGGAAACCGGCCATGCTGTTTCTCTGCGGGCAGCGCTTTGTCTCTACGGGTAGCTGGCGCTTTGATGGATCGATCCTTCACAGCGTGTTTGCATCCGATCAAGGCTGGGTGTCTCAGGGGCACGGTCTCACCTGCAGGCTGAGTTTATGCTGAAACATAATTGATTGCTTGCTTGAATCACAACAGGTCACTCGGGCCCAACTGACGACCTCATATCATTAATTAATTAATTATAATCATCCCCAAACATCCCCCAAACATCCCCCAAACATCTCCCCCTAGCTAGACAAGCCATCAATCGAGTATGCACTACATGTATCCACCGACGCCATTACACACACCGCCCGCGTCCCAGCCGGCGCAAGTCTAAAACGGCACGCACCCAGCCACAAACTGCGCCGCCGCGCCCGCATCATCCTCATAGTTCATATGCGGCGGCAGCGGCACGGGCCACCCCAGACAGATCAGGTCGCCAAAGTGGCAGAACGTCTTCACATTCGCGTTCATGCTGCCCGGGAACGGGTCGCCGTTGTTTGGGTCACCAAAGAGCACGATCGCGCCCACATTCGCATACTGCGCGGCCGGTATGCGCTTCGCGGCCTTGTGCACGACCTGGGCTCCTTGACTACATGTACACACCGCCACGCCGGTAAGTTAGCCTGTGTAGATATATCTATGTATATGCGTGTATGTGAGAGAGAGAGAGAGTGTGTGCGCCTACCTGAACCCCGAAAGCACAATCCTCGACCCCGGGCACTGCGTCGCCGCCTTCGCAACCGACGCCGCCATGTCCGCTGCCCCCGTGTCGGACCCGCCACCTAGATACCCCCACACGTCCGCCGGATAATTGTTGACGCCCTGCACCGCGATCTTCCCGGGCTTCATTGCCGCCAGCGCATCAAAGAAGTACGGCCCGACGTCGTCACCGACATTGCCCGGCTCCGTGGTGCCGCGGGCGAAAATGACGATGACGGGTGCGCAGGTCTTCTTTTCGAGGAGCTCGTTTCGCGTGGTCTTGACGGCGGCGAGGGCGCTGAAGGCGCCGGCGTGCTTGGCGGCGCGGAGGGACTTGAAGGCGTCTTCGATTGCGGAGACGGGCGTGGAGCCGACGGGTGCGGCGGGGATGTCAGAGATGTCGATGCCGGCGGGGGCGTCGGGTGTGGGCGTACCGGCGCCGGTGTCGAGGCCTTGTGGGGCGGCGTGGGCGAGGGAGGAGAGGAGGAGGGAGGAGAGGAGGGCGGTGAGAGGGATGAAGACCATTGTTACTAGTAACTACTTGAGAAAGACAGTGGATTGTAACGGGAGACTCGAGCTGAAGAGCTGGATAGTAGACGGAGCTACAGAGATGGATCCGGTCGAAGGAATGCAATGCAATGGCGCTGAGGGTTGGGGACGAGATATCGGATTCCCCACCGCCCTCTTTATAGCATTCCCCCTTCCCTCGCCCCTTCTCTCAAACCCAATACTCTTCCCCAATGTAACAAGCTTCCATCCGGCACCCGCAAGCGAGAGAGGCAAAGAAAACACACATTTTCATAACCTTAATATCCCCCCTCCCCCCGCCAAACTCACCACCCAATCATTACCCCCCCCCTCCCACCGCTCCAGCAACCGTAACACGCCGCCCCACACCCGCAATCTAACACACATCCCCAGCCTCGTAACCTTAGCTATTCACAAATCGCGCACCCTCCACCTCGTCGCGCTAACGGAGGCTACCCCAATGTCCCATCCGCCGCTGCCATTGGGCACCGGTTCGCGATGGTGGAGGTTAGCAACGGCCGATCGTACCTGCATGCGACCCACCCTGCACCAAGACAATCTCCCGCCGCCGGCGAATCAATCAACCCCGCAACCACTGGTCTGACAGCTCACGCCCGCGATGGCCTGTGCTTGGTCGGACGTTGAAATTAGACTACATCGGCTAGCTAGCTCGGTGCGACGTTATGCATAAAATCCACACTCAGTCAAACCACGCGCCGTTATTACTATGACCACTCCCCCCCCCCCCCCCAAACCCAAACGCCCGGACAGGGGTCCGGGCATGGCATCTAGGTAGATGCACTTCGGGGGGAACTATCTGGTTGGCCGGTCGTGATTGGCGGATAGCTGGGTTTGTTTCGTTTGCAATTGTGGTGATTAGGCCACCCTGCCATCTCCACCGCTCTACTAAGAATCGCCACCTCCTCACAGTAACAGCAACAACTACCCCCCCCTTCCCAACCACCCGCGAAACAGCGACTCGCCCCTCGCCCGCGGAGGACGAGCCGAGTGACATCCCATGAGTCCAGCGCCTAGCCATTCTCGGCTAGTTATTCCAGTGGCAGCCCACCCACCTACCGCATGCGGATTAGTGTGGGCTAATAATCTTTTCTTAATATTAAAGGGGGTTTAGTCTGTCTCTCCACCGGAGGGAGAGGCTGACTAGCTAGATGGATAGTGGTGTATTATTAGGAAATGTGGATGCGGTTAGGGCGGGGTTGGGGGGGCGAGTGATAGCGTGTGATCGGTGCTATAGCGGGAGTTGTGTTATAGGGGCAGGGTCTGTATAGGCAGTGTTTCTCATGTTTCTACAATAGGTACTTGCGTGTGTTTTATCACTCGCTGTAGATCTAGAAGGCTGCCGCCATAGCAACATATCTCTTGCCTTCCGGGAAACAATTGCAAGTTGACCGGCTCTTGGATCGCGATCAAGATGAACTAAATGAAAGTGCTTCAAGCGTTGAAAATTCCATGAAATGACGAGTTATTCGTGAGAGATATATACATAAAACATGAACCACATGAACCACATGACCATAACATAAACGATTTCATAGCGCAAAAGACAGAGATATTAATGATACATCAAGAGTGAAGAGCAACTAACAGATCTGGCGCACTAATAAAAAAAAAAAAAATAGAAACAGAAAAAAGACGAAAAAAAACACAAACTTCTTTTTATGCACCCGCTAAACTGATGCTACCAATAAATAAACCCATTGCTCCGGCATAATCAATAAAAAATAAAAATAAGAAAAACTCCCAAAACAAAAAAATGACAGACAGTTCAAAAACTCCGCAATTCCCAATTCACAAAGTGTGAGAGGCCTTTGGCTTTTCCAGTGCAAAAAACAAACCCATCGAGATAGAAAGAAAAAGAGAAAAAGAAACCATGCGCCGCCGCTCAGAAGATGAATCCCCCGCATTACAAGCTAAAAAAAGCCTAGGCCTCGCACCATGCTATTTCTTTGACTTCCTGGCACCAGACTTCTTGGGGAGCTTGCTCTTCTTGGACTTCTTGATCTCGACGAAAGCCTCCTCTTCGATGATGATGTCAGAGTGTTCGGGCTCGACGACTTCGGCGACAGCGTCAATCTCGGGGGTGATCTCCTCAACGACCTCGTCGACAACCTTGTGCTCTGGGAGAGGTTCCTCGAAGTGGGCTTCGACATGTTCGTGGATGGTCTCTTCGGTGGCTTCCTCAACGATGTGCTCTTCTGCTAGGGCGGCCATGTGCTCCTCGACGATGTGTTCCTCGAAGATGTGTTCCTCAACAATGTGCTCCGCCTCCTTCTCAATGTCAACACCCCCGATGACAGACTCAACCATTGTCTCTTCTGACTCGTGGGTCATTGGGATTTCTTCCTCTTCGGCAACGACGACGTCAAGCTTGGTCTCCTCTTCGATCTCAATGGCGGCATCGACTGGTGCAATGATCTCCGCAACCTCTTCTGTCGGGATCTCCTCAACAATGGCCTCCTCAGTCAAGACATGCTCGGAGTTCAACATTTCCTCGATCATGACCTCAGCCTCAGTGGCTTCAACTTCTATAAATGGTTAGCTTGGGTGCTAGAGAAGCTAGGATCATTATTAGACTTACCATGCACAGCAACCTCGTCTTCACAGACTTTGTGCTCCTCAACTTCCTCAGCTACCTCGACTGCCTCGACTGCCTCGACCACCTCAACTACCTCAACTGACTCAACAGTCTCAATAGCCTCAACAGCCTCAACAGCCTCAACAGCCTCAACAGCCTCAACTGCCTCAACTGCCTCAACTGCCTCAACTGCCTCAACTGCCTCAACTGCCTCAACTGCCTCAACTGCCTCAACTGCCTCAACTGCCTCAACTGCCTCAACAACGATCTCCTCTTGCGCAACCTCAACAACCTCAGGGACGACCTCTTCGGCGATAACCTCAGAGACAACCTCCTCAGCGACGATCTCAACGAGAGGGCACTCAACTTCAGCCTCAACAACCTCAATTGGAGCGGCTTCGACTTCAGCCTCAACAACCTCAATTGGAGCGGCTTCGACTTCGGCCAATGCCTCGAGATCAGTAGACTCGGTAACCTCAACAGTCACCTCTGCCTCCTTCAACTCTTCTTCAATCGCCTTCTCAGCCACTTCCTCCATCTGGACGGGCTCCGGGACCTCCTCCTTAGCAGCGTGGATCTCCTCAACCTCCACAGTCTCGACAGCCTTGACCTCCTCTTCCACCACCTCCTCAACAACGCGGCTCTCTTCCAACTGGGCCAAGTGGTCCTTGAGCATCATGGGAATTGGCAATTGCATCAGGTTAAGCTCCCATCTTCGGTGAAGCACGGGAAGACAGTCGGTGTAGAGAGCAGTCCCCTTTGAGAAGACGAGTCCACTATCGAGTACTGCAAGCGGGCGGTGAAGAGTGGGTAGTGTACCCTCACGAGAAAACACGGGCAGGAGCGGAAGGACCATAACACGTCCCTGCGCGGCAGACTTGAGCTGGGATGCGAGCATGACATTCTCAAAGTATGGGCTCTGTCTTCCGTAATTGTGGGGCTCCCATGAGCTGCAGTCCGTGTCATCGGTGCTCATCGATGCAGTGATGATCTCACGCTCCATACGGGCGTATCTCCAAGTCTCAACGGCGAACTTGACAATGCGGGTGATTCCCGAAGTGATGACGTCCATATTCTTCTGGTCCGCGAAAGGTTTGACATAACCCGCGATCTCCTCGATTACGCTTGTTGCAGCGACACCGGCGTTCTTCTTGGCGTTGGAGGCGGTGTAGCCGGCTAAGAGAGTGTAGTGACGCCAGACGGCCTCCTTGCGCGTGGACTTCTCACGAAGCTGGTTGGACATGGATTGGAAGAAGGTGTCGGCTTTGTCGTAGCGCTTTCCAAGGGAGAAAAGGAATGGCTGGAAGATACGGTGGCAAAGGTACTTGGAGATGATGTGTTGAACATATGCCATGCGGATTAGACGGGAAGCATCGCTGTTTCCGAGCATTGAGGGAAGTCCGGAAGGAAGCTCGGCGAGCACCTTGCTGGGAGGTGAGATGGGCAAGTTGGAGAACTCCCCGGAGATGTCAATAATATCTCTGGCGAGCTTCTGGAAGGCATCAATGCTAGTTGAGTGTTAGCTAAAGTTGCTTCATCGATTATCACTCGTCGTTGTCAAACAAGGTTACTTACTAGAAACAATCTCCGCGAGATCTGATTTCTGCGCCCTCTTCCTCTTCAGCGACTCCCTTGAGTGTCTCGACAAGTTTTGTATTGTCGTTCAAGAGATTGTTCTTGACACTCTCGAGCTGCTCGATCATTTCCTTAAGCTTGGCCTTCTCGCTTTCCCATTCGAGCCTTGCCCTTTCCTTCTCGGAGATCAGAACTTCTTTGTCGCCCTCAAGAGTTGCGGTCTTATCCTCGAGACTGGCAACAGCCCCTTCGAGCCCGGTCTTCTCGTCCTGGAGCGCGGCCTTCTCACCGAGAAGAGTTGACTTTTCATTGAGTAGGATAGCCTTCTCTCCTTCAAGGCCAGCCTTATCGGCCTCAAGCTCGAGCTTACAGCCCTCAAGCATCTGCTTGTCGTCTTCGAGGTTCTTGATGATCTCGTCCAATTTGGTCTTCTCGTCTTTGAAGTCAGAGATGATCTTCTCCTTCTCCTCACCCCATTCCATCTTTGCGGCCTCGAAAGTGCTAATCATGGCAGTCTTTTCGCCTTCGAAGTCCCCGTGGAGTTGGGCTTTCTGGGTAGCGAATTCCTCCTCGGCGGCCTTCTTTTGCGATGCAAAGTCCTCCTCGATGGATTGCTTCTGTGATGCAAAGTCCTCAGTGATCTTGTTCTTCTCGGCCTCGAATTCAGCCTCGATCCGCTGCTTCTCTGCCGAAAAGGCGTCTTCCATGTCGGTTTTTTCTGAGGCGAATGATTCTTGCATGCCCGTCTTCTCGGTGGCCCACTCGTCTTGCATTCCGGATTTCTCGGCAGCGAATGAGTCCTCCATAGTGGCCTTCTCGGTAGCAAAGGTATCCTCCATGCTAGCCTTCTCAGTCGCAAATACCTCCTCCATAACTGCCTTCTCATTGGCGAATGCCTCCTCCATATTTATCTTCTCAATAGAAAAGGCATCCTCTATACCGATTTTCTCAGTGGAGAACGCATCCTCTATTCCGAGCTTTTCAGTCGCAAAGTCCTCTTGCATATCCTTCTTTTCCATAGCAAACGCCTCCTCAACGGCCTTGACCTTGGCTGCGTGGTTCTCTTCCAAGTCCTTTACCATGGCTGCATGGAGCTCCTCAAGCTCCTTGACCTTCAACTCATGGAGTGATTGGATCTCCTGGACTTTGTCTGCGTGAGAATCCTCAAGGTCCTTTGTCAAGCTTCCGTGGTTCTCCTCGAGAGCCTTCTTTTCCGCCTCAAAGGTCTCCTCCATAGTCCTCTTCTCGGCATCGTGGCCCTCAACCATTGAAGTCTTCTCGTTGTCGTGAGCGGCAAGGGTCTCCTCTTTCCACTTCTGGAATTCCTGCTCGAGGGCTTCTCTCTCTTGGTTGAACTTCTGCTCGAACAGGATTCTCTCCTTGTCCTTGCTCTCGATGGAAGCATTCAGCCTCTTGACTTCAGACTCCAAGTCGGTAATTTTAAGTTTCAGGCGATTGATCTCGGCGGTGTTCATTTGAAGGTTCTGCTCCATGTTCTCCTTGAGAGCCTCTAGCTGCCTTTCCTTTGCCTGTAGCTCTTCGATATCTTTGTCCTGATCTGAGGCAATTTGGTAGTAGCGTTGGAGCTCATCATTGACAGCATTGTACCGATCACACAGCTGTTGCAAGCTGGGAATGGAAAGGGTGAGTGAAGAGACGGCGCCTTGAGCCCTCTGAATGATACCATCGAGGTTGCTATGTGGGTCTGCTGAGTTGAAACCACTTAGAGGTGGTGAATGACGGCCACCGTAGATCGGACCATCATCAATGGCATCCTCAAATGGGTACATGTCTTGGCGGGGGTGTCCCATCTCACTGGGTGCGTGGCTTGCATATCCCTGGCTACTTATCCGACGGACAAGCTCACTGCTGCCGCGGTATCCGTGCGCAAATGATGGTCTACGGGTTTGTGGCTGCTGAAGATGGGCAGAGTTTGGGGCTGTTGGTGGGTATTGACCACCATATCTGTCATCTTGGCGTCTCTGAGGATATTCTTGGGGGATCTGGATAGGTCTAGGAGGCTGGTAATTTGAGACATGGGGCAGCTGCTGGTGGTGCTGGTAATATGAAGGATATGAATTTGTGCTTGGAGGCGTTGTCTGGTGAGGGGGTGTTGGGGGATATTGTCCATGATGTGAGTACCGTGGAGAATATGGGCCTGTGGGTGATCTTGAACCGGACTTCATCATTCTTACTGGCTCTGGGAGAGGTGCAAGGTTGTCTGAGGGGAGAGGAGAAGTCGGTGCGTCAAGTGGGGGTTCTGGTGCCCTGGGCATGCGCTCCCGGTGGTGGTGAGTTGGTTCGTCGATGGAACCAGGTGGTGTGGGGATTGATACAACAGATGTAGATGCCATATTAAAGATTTCTTGTCAATCCCAGGAGATATCTGAGTTCAACCGTTCACAGTACTAATATATATTCTATAAAACTTTTGTTAGTTCAATAATTATGCTAAAGGTTTTAGGGCTGCGAATAGACGGTATATATATAGAAAGAGAAGTAGGATGGCAATAGAGTGATAGAGGGATATTCGAGATATTTGAACAAGCTTCAACTTACAAGACGCTAATAAGACCAAAAAAATCTTATAATCAAATGCCTTTACTCTGAATGAGATGTGTTGATGATGGAAGCTCTGTATCGTGGCAAAAAGCTAAAAGAGAGGGTCATCAAAGTCAGTCTATATACCCACGATGGTGGCCCTACAATAGAGGCATTGCAATATGAACAGATCTCAGGAGCGGGGAAGCTGGTGTGATGGAAAAGAAAGAAGAAGCAATTGTTTTACTAGAGATACGGACATACCGAGCGGGCCAGGAGCTCCAAACAGACAGACCTTTTTGCAAGGGCGGGGTGTGGGGTACCTGCTTGCCTGAACATGCAATTAAAAACTGTCAGTAAGGGTTCAATCAATGTTCCGACTAGAAAATTAATAACTCGAACTAAAAGCATAGAACAGAAAGAAGGAAAAAAGAAAAAGGAATGTTTATTACAATATGCACCAGAAGGGCAATATTCTGCGCCTTCAGATGGTGTGATGTGAAAGATGCCCTGGAAGACGATGGCCGCCGTGAGGATTAGGAGGGCGATATGGAAATGGGGGAGCCCGCGGGGGTTTATATGAAAATAACTTTTACGAGAAACATGGGATGACGGAGTATTATGATTCGGAGAAATCCACAAACCACAAATAATTCAAGATAGAGATATCATATATTGGAAACGGAACGGGATAAAGAGAAGAGGCAGATGTTGGTCAGAAAATAATTCGTAGAGGCAAGAAAGGCAGATCTTTTGGTAGTACAATCTGTAGGATAGGATAACTGCTTATGCAGATATCGTGCTTGGGGAGAATGACCGTATGGTGTGTGCGTGAAAAAAATGTGTGCGAGTAGTACTTACAGTACTTTCTTTTTTGGCGTAGATTCCTACCTAGGCCTCCCGTTTTCTACTTCCTTTTTTTCCGTGATTAAAGAAAAATTCAAGTACAGAAATACCTTCCAACGAAACAAATCGCTTCTGAACAGATGAGAGATACTCAAGTGTAAAAAAAATTTTGTGGAGGGGCTTCTTACATACGGGTTGTACCTATTCGCTCGCAAGACTTATGGGAGGAGAAATATAGGAAATACCACACGCTCTTACCCTCATAATTTCTACAAAAATAAGTTCAGGAGAGGCTGGATGGCACAAAGCCGCTCGAGGCGCACGTAATGGCCGTCGGAAGCCGCGTTGACAGGAGAGACGTGGCCGTCGCCGGCTCTTCGCTGCGTCCACATTGCTATCAATGGTCGGGATTTCTCACTAATTAACATAATTACCTAGCAGGTAGTCCGAGAAAGTAACGGAGGAGCAAAAGACCTGGTGGGATTTACACGAGAAAAGAATAGTTCGTTGCTGTGTTGTCAACTGACCCGCAGTTGCATGGATGAACTCTGCAGTTGAGTACGAGGTTAGAGTAGAGAAGTACCCAGAATAGCGAATTACTTACGGTTTGAGGTTTCCCACAGTCTCGGCCATGGATGATCAGCAAATAGATGAAACGCTGCCCTAAACTCTGCCCTAGAGTAGAATAGATACACACGCATAGCGCCTACCTGCATACACGCAAAAAAGACAAACCTCCAGAGCTAGAGAAAAACAGTAACGCCTCATAACGTCCATTCTTGCTTACATCGAGTCGAGGAATCGCGGTCAACTGAATGGGCAGTACGGACCAATAGGACTCTCGATTTCTCTCTGTGTTTACGGGTAGCACTGTCACATAACGAGGATTTTTGACACATTGAATGTAAACGAAAAAGAATTACAGACATTTTTTCCCCGGAACACTCGCTTGCCATGATAATCCCGTCGGATTTTTAAATCAAACTGATCCTCAAAGGAGGATCTACATGCCAAGTTCGGGAACTCTGGACGTCATGTCACGGTGGAGCATGGAGATTCTTTTCCCCGGATCCAAGCCGAGCAGCAAGGGTGGAGGTTGCTTTGCTGCCACCGTTCTCAGCGAACAACGCATCACCAATAACCTTGCGTCCCCCACCACCTCCACAATACGTCAAGCCTCAGACCCGTTCAGTATTCGCTGCACATCAATCTTAGGCTTACAGTCATGTACGTACGTACAGTAGCTTCTTAATTCCAATCCAGACATAGGTAGGTGACCTCGGCAGCTCACATTTTTGTGGGGCGAGACATCCAATAATACCACTGACGATTGGTACATACATACGTTCAACATCAAAACTACACCGTCGATACCTACGTATCTGTCGATGAGAACCCCCAGTCTTCCATCATCTAAAACGATCTCTATTGCTCACGTTGGGACGACTGCTGATACCCGCAGCGAGATCCACGATATCGATGATGATTCTGATATTCGAGAGGACGAGACTCGCTCGGTACGATGGATGCCGTTTACAGTCAAAAACCCAATCATTAATTATCACTCTATGCAGAGTGATGCAAGAGTCCAAGAATGGATCTAAGCTTTGCACCCCAATATATCTTTTGGGGCTATATGTATGGCTCAGGAACCTAGCTTGCCTATTTGCATGCACAAATTTTTATTTTCGAATTTTTTTTCCTAGCTATGTTATGTAGGTGAGAGGAGCACAGAAAAAAATGACAAAATATTAACTGTAGACAAAGAGGGGGCCGAAGATACAATGTCGTACGAACCTGCTTCTCGTATATAGAACTGGACTGCATGTTTGCTTCTGGAGATATAGGCACGGGCCTGCTTTACTGGAGTACCTGCAAAAGTAGCTGGAATGCAGGGTTTATCTGGTATGCCCGCTCGTAGTGGCGTGGAATTAAACTGGGCCCAGAGAGGCAAATTCAACGTCGGTGGTTAAAACTCCTGCATCTGCCCAACCTGAAGGAATTGCTGATGCATAAATCTGGGGGGCATGCCAATTGAGCACACACTTCCATATTGCAAACAAAAAATAGTTGAGAATTATTTAATTCCTTATCGCGTGTGGTGTTATGATAGTTGCTGCTCGAGTTAGCCGTTTCCTACTAAAACAGCTTCTCCGACGCGTTCATAGGCTTTCAACAACAAAGTGCATGCGTATGATGCCTGCCTATTATCCGGTACACGGATGATTACCGAAAATAATGCGCATAGGAAGCTTCTAGGAACAGTACCTCCTTTTGTCGTCGTTTGTTTCTACAACCATAGTACCTGTCTGTCTCGGCTGTTAGATCTAAAGTACTACAACCTATCTTCCAGCGAATGCGGGCTACGAAAATCAGTGCAGGGCGGTGATCAATTCTCGCGGCGCTAGAGATGCGGCCCAATCAAAAGGCCGAAACCGTTGCCAGGGCCGCCATGCGGGCCGCTGGCTTACTCTACCACACACGGAAGAACGGTTGAAATGATAAGTATTTAATTGCATCATTTATCATTACCGGCGGGGATTTTGATATGGACTACATGGAGAAAATACAATGTCATGCGGCTCTGACAACCTATTAGAAAACCCTCTTTTTACCGAAATATCTGAAAATATCAGTGTAGGAAGGAAGGAAACAATCAATTTCCGCAACCTTCTTTTCTTGTGAGCTGAAAATGCAAGTTGCTCAATAGTGTGGTCTTCCGAACAAGGCCACTTACGAGAAAGCAGGAACGAATTTTTTTATGCGTCGACAATCCCAGCGGGCCCGGGTTGGTTGCCGATTCACAAACGCCCACTTTACAATCGGCCCTGGCTCAAAAAAGGAATCATCTGTTGATAGCTGAGACTTATTATACCCCGTTTTCCATTGGGCTTGCGATTTGAACTTGGCTGGAGCTTTTGAAGTCTAAACCCTTGTCTGTCAGAGGAGTTTTCTTCCGATGTTTTTCTTCTTCTTACTTTTAGCTTGCCGGTCCAGCCTGAGTTGCATATAGTGGCATAGTATGAAAGCATTTCCGTGTCTGGATGACTTTACGTACGAATGAGACTGCAGTAATATCTCGAAGCCAGCTTACGCTAACGGTAGCAAACAAGTTTCTGCAAACTATCCGCAGGATAAAAAGTAAAGTGGTGATACCAACAAGAATGATCAATGTGCTAGCGTCCAAACCGTTCCTCTAGCACTTTTTGTCAGCCATAACTCGAAGAAAAAAACAGGTACGAAAACCACTAGTAATTGAGTCTGTTTGCAAGCGGGATCGCTACCCGGAACCTCTAAGGGATACGCGCTAGGAATCAAAACGCGCACAGGACCTATAGTCGGGCGCTCTTTCGTCTACCTACAATATTCAAATCTACGGTGGTTGCTTTCATGTATGCCCCCACTGAGCAGACAGATGTGTCTTGCATTTCCATTGACACATATCAACCACGACTTTCAGATAGCTTTTATTGTTTCCTTTTGAATACATCAAGAAAAATTTCAAAGCATATGCTTTCAATGTTTGCTAATTGGATTTTTACTTGAGTGTTGTTTTTGTAGGCATCTGGGTAGCTGCTATCAACGTTGTTGTGGTCAGTTGTTCCAATGAGCAGCGAACATTTTTTGTCTCATCTCATGAGTCAACCTTTTTGGGCAACCCCCAGCCAGTCGGAAAGCACAGTTGATCACTCGACACACATACCTACTCCACAACACCACTAAAACCTACAGCACACAGATGTCGTTGGTTAACGCCGAAACCTACGCCTGCGCCCTCTTCTTGGGAGTCTAGTAATTACCATTGGGATTGTTGCTGTAAATACCGATCGGATAGCTTACCGATGTTGTTGCGTTGCTGGCTACATACTAACAATTAACAAGCGATGTAATGATCTGTGGCTCATGGAGGAAAACACCAAAGCCGTCAATAGTTCACTCAAAACCACGTACTTAGCTCGCCATATCTTGAGATTCAACAAAATATTAGGCTTCACCGCAACTTCGAACCGAACACGAGCATATTCTCACAGATAAGATGTTTTAAGTATATAGATAGACAAGGAGAAGTTCCGACTTTCAATTTGAGATACTCTATTAGTAGCCACCACTTCATGCAAACGCCATGCATGAACATGAAGTGCTTGCGCCGCTAAAAAAGTAACAGTAATAATTGATAAGGATATGCAGCGTGTGAACCCTGATGATCATCAATTACGAAAACATGTGAGTGTAGGGTTGGGCCCAATAGGATTAGCGGCCCTAAATCAGTATCGCGACTGTGCGCCATGCTTGTTGCAGTGTGCATGCTGCGCATCATATGCCATCACTCGTTGAAAGTCGTTTTTAGAAATGTGCAGATGACATGTGCAGAACGAGGACCAAGACCCAAAGTGGGGGGATTCCGCAAACATTGAATGGAAGAAGTCCAGACGGTAACCCATCCTTGATTTGGGAGACAACCTCCCTCTTCACCTGGTTCCCGGGACCGTAAATTACTTTCCTTGCGAATTACTCATATCTTACGTGCAGAAAATAGATATAGCCTATAGAAAACCGGGAAGTATTCGGTAAAATGCTCAAAGACCTGAGGAAGTTTTATCCAGAATAATATCATTCCTGGATCCCATTTCGTGCTTTGCGAGCTTTCGCCCTGATGAACCGTTCTTCATACATTCCTCGGTACCTGCAACGAGAAATAATCGGAAGCGGTAAATTGAAATATCAGATCAGTAAAGTACGCCAGGCGGTGAGTTCCGGTAATATTTCCCTTTGCCACACTTTAACTGAGATGTGCAGAGATAAACCAAAATACCACAGATTACACAGGTGTGCCCTTTAGATGGCCCCAAATCATTCTTAATCTCTCAGTCGCAGCTCTCCCATGGCTACCTTGCTTTTGCTTTCCCTTTCTATCGGCCAAAATTTCTTCCCTAGCTTGCCGTACCACTTCTACAGCATCCCCCCAAACCTCTTCCGTATACACGTCCAAAGTGGAGAGAAACTCGACAGGATCATCACAGGCTACGAATAGGCGGATTGTTGGGTTTGTTAACTTCATTCCTTGAAGCTCTAGGTCTGGGGAGTATATTGCTGAGGTGAGGGGTTGTGAGAGGAGAGAAACAACGTCATGGCCATCCGATTCTAGCTCTGTAGTATGCGCATAGCCGTCTATGCCGGAGTCTAAAGGGGTCTGTTGACTTTCATGAAGCTGCGGGAAGAGCTGTCTTTCGAAAGAGGCGAATTCATCCTCTACAGAATAAGGTTGATGTGGCTGCCGGCTTCGAAATCCGTCGGTTCCACGTGTAGTAGCAGTGGATGTAGAAGTAAAAAGTAGTGAAGGAGGATGATGATCGGTAGAGAGGCCTCCAGCTGAGGTAGAGGGGTCTGTATAGGTACTGTGGAGTCGATGTTCTTGATTACTTGACTTTGTAGAAGCCAGGTATGATGAGGAAGCAAGCGAGTCAGTAATTAAAGAGGCAGAAGAAGGGCCAGTGATGGAAGAGAGAAGATTAGATGCTGAGGCTGAGATATTCGAGAAGACGCCACCAGCTGGGGGGTCTGCTACGGGAGTCGAGTCCGGTATAGGATCAGTTTTTTCTTTTGGTTGGGCATCCTGGCTATTGGTCTTTTCCGAGGACATTGAGATATTTGAGGAGCTGAATCTTTATTGTAAGTACTTGGTTGTAAAGATAGTGTCTGCGAGGGGAGCAAGAATCAAGTTCTAAAATGGCTATGAGTGCTTACATGTAGCCTAAAGATTAGTAGATGCACATGCAAATGTTGACGTATATCTGGGATTTTGTTTTGAGGAACCGAGGATACGGGAGAGCTATCGCTCAGAGCCTCTTAATCGGAAGAAACCTTCCCGAAATCGGAACACCAGGGGGAAGCGGAAGCATCATGAGATTGCCGAAGTCAGGGTACATAGTTTGGCGAGCCTTTGTTTTCCAGGTCCGGATATCTTTACATACGGGAATTTACCACGAGGGTACTTGAATGACAATGCCATATGCAAAAAGAAATAACTTCAAGGGGTTCAGCGGTAGCTTGAATAGTAGTACCCATAGAAGCTACACGTATCTACATGAAGTAAAGTATTTACACGGTAGTACTCTTCGTTACACGGTGATCTCATGGGAGTCGACAAGAGGGGCTTGTCCTTGGGTGACTAAGCACCCCACTCCGCATCAGATCAACCGAACCGTTTGTTCCCCCCACCAAGGGCGCCCTCAATACGGTGTTATCATTGACGTCGTCGTTGTCATCTCTGTTTCTCACCGTCGCCTGCTCTGCCATCTAACTACTGTTGTGCTGCGCTGTCACGAAGTAACAAGGCTCGAACAACAACTTACCTCTGTACTGCCAGCAATTTCTTTGAAAGTTTGGTTATCATCTCTCCACCCATCACAAGCAAGACAAGGTAAATATAATCCAATTAATTCTTGTCGGGTACCTATCAAGTACATACCATACCTATCCCCTCCCTGCTTCAGCAGTTGTCTGTCCGCATCGAGCCATCCCCTCCACTACATGACACGGGCACTGCCACTGCACCGTCACTGCCACTACATACCACCTCCGCTTCCGCTTCCACCTTCTTCCTCCTCACCACCAGCTACCCAATCCGCAAACCCATCCTTCCTTCTTCCCGCACAGATTATCTCCCCTCTTCCAAAAAGAAACGGATAGGCCTAGAGCCCGCCCCCCTCCATTCACCGCCGCCGCTTGTTCTTATCTTTTTATTGTCTGTGCTATTTCCCGTCTTTCACGCTGCACTTACAGTTGGAACTCAACAAACCCCTCCCTTGATCTCCTCCCTTTGCTTCCCACCCCACCCCATCCACCCATCCATCCAAGTGAACTTAACGACGTTGCTCCACGGCATCTTTATTTCAACAACGACTAACGTCGGATATTACTCCGCACCAGCCAGACGGAATTCTACAACGCCGCCGCTAGAACAAGCAATCCCGGCCTCGCTATCACTTGGGCAATCTCACCAATCTTCCCACTCAACCTATCCTTCCTCACACCTTCCCCCCCCCCCCCCCATACCTCCCCCCCTATATTCTCCCTCCTCTTCAACCTGCAGCCATCATGGTCGACGGGGAGACAGCATCTCCGACTTGGAAGTTTACACAGTACGTCTTGCTCTGTTAATTAATGATTTGCTAGCTACCTGTATCTATTTTTGGAGCGGGGCAGGGGTTGTGACCCCACTTCCCCGCTGATATCATAACATTGTTCTTTGATTCACTCGGTTTGGAACTCTCTCTAATCATTGGTGACAATTTAGGTGCTTCGGTGACAAGGGAGACGTAGAGGATATCACAGAAGGTAGTCTTAATCTGGCTGATTGCCCATTCATTGCATACACCATTCGCTAGTTTTGTTCATAAGCTAACGTTTATGAAACCTTTTCAGCTGATATAATATCAACCGTCGAGTTTGATCACACCGGTAACTATCTAGCAACAGGTGATAAAGGTGGAAGGGTGGTATTATTCGAGAGAAACGAAACGGTAAGTTCCTATATCCCTGTACACCATTTGTTACAATCTTACTGGCCGATCTTCTGGTTTTCGAACTCGCTAACCTGGGATATGTTCCAACGATACAGAAGAAAACATGTGAATATAAATTCCATACTGAATTTCAATCCCATGAACCCGAGTTCGACTACCTAAAATCCCTCGAAATCGAAGAAAAGATCAACAAGATCAAATGGTGTAAACGACAGAATGCTTCGCACTTCCTGCTGTCGACAAACGACAAGACTATTAAACTTTGGAAGGTGTTCGAGAAATCTCTCAAGGTTGTCGCCGAGAATAACCTCTCGCATGATGGCGCAACTACTGCTGTTGGGGGTATCCGGCATCATCTCCAACAACCACCTCCGATTTTCAATAATTCTACCGCCCTAAGACTACCAAGGCTCACTCACCACGATACGGTTGTTGCTGCAGTTCCCAGGAGGACCTATGCAAATGCTCATGCGTATCATATCAACAGTATCTCTGTGAATTCTGATGGGGAGACCTTCATTTCCAGTGATGACCTGAGGATTAACCTATGGAACCTAAACATCCAAGACCAGAGCTTCAATATCGTTGATATAAAACCAGCGAATATGGAGGAACTGACCGAGGTGATCACCGCAGCAGAGTTTCATCCGCAATATTGTAACTGGTTCATGTATGCCAGCAGCAAAGGGACTATAAAGCTGGCTGATATGAGAGAAAGCGCGCTTTGCGATCAACATGTGAAGTGTAAGCTCTGAACTTCCGATATTGATGAAACAATAAAGCTAATAGGATATCTTGAACATAGTATTCGAACAAGAAGAAGACCCATCTTCCCGTTCCTTCTTCTCTGAGATAATTTCCTCCATATCCGACGTTCGTTTCTCCTCAGATGGCCGATATATCCTCTCACGTGATTACCTCACCGTGAAGATCTGGGATATAAACATGGAGAACAAGCCCGTCAAAACTATTCCGATCCACGAGCACCTGAGACCACGACTCTGTGATACTTACGAGAACGACTCTATCTTCGACAAATTTGAGGTCGTGTTTTCAGGGGATGGCAAGAATGTCATGACCGGGTCCTACAACAATAACTTTATGATTTACCCCAGCGACCCTGAGAAAGAAGTCGAGGTGGTGTTGCAGGCGGACAAGAGTGCCTTCAAGGCTAAAAAGGTGGGTGTGCCTACTCCCATTAACGGTGGGAAGAAGGGAGGTTCGAGAGCAGGAAGTCCTGCTGCCGGTTCCGGTCCTGGAGGTAGAATGAGGAAGGAAACAGATGCAGACCAAATTGATTTCAACAAGAAAATCTTACACATGAGCTGGCATCCGTTTGAGGATTCGATTGCTATTGCAGCTACGAACAATGTGAGAATTCTCTTAGTAACCTCTAATGCCCTTGCTGACTTTTGTTTTAGTTGTTTGTCTTTTCAGCATTGTAGACCGGTTGTACCCATTCCTTTGCAATTGGAGGCCCGTCGTTCAATGAAACCAAGCGTTTGTGTTTTTGTTTGTCTTGACTTCATAAGAGTGACCGCCTGGGAAATTTCCTTGTTTGCATTCTCTGGTACTGTTGCGACCCGTGCCCTTAGTATTCTACCAAACAAGCCTTTCCCGACAATATTGAAGTATTAAGCTTAATATGTTGTTTCTGGGAAAATATAGCGCGCTTGAAGCCGCATGAATGTAAAAAGATCCATCAATTTATTCGTCTTAAAGGCGTCCTCCTTGAAAGGCGCAAGGTTTACGAACTACCGTTGTGAAATGATCAGTAAACTACCCATCCCTCTGTTACTTTGCGCAATGTTTGTACCCCATGTTAGATGAATTATCGGATCCATAACTGTCTCGATGGTTCACACCATCACATAAGTCAAGTCAACTGCATCTCGAGCTATATCAACCTCCATATTTCGTCCGTTCATTGTTAAAAGCCGACTTTGTTAGGAGATTTTCCTAAAATATCTCTTGAAAATAAGTATATCAGTTCAAACAGGACCGTAATTTTTTTCAGATGAGGGAAATACTTGACGTTCGGGCCTTCCTTATGCTCAATGATGCCAGTCCGATGAGTTATCTCCATCAACATCGGCATCACCCCCACGCCCGAGGTATGTGAAAAACTTCTCGCCAAGTTGAAAATGTGACCGGAAAGAAATATCAGGATCGAGGACTTCCCCGCAATTTGAATTATCAACCGCGAGTAGTACACACTTATGCATGGATGGATGGAGGATTATGTATGTATGTGTGGCTACATGAATCGATTGTCGAGTTAACAGCGCTCGCTTGGATAGGCTTCTTATCGATGGATGCATGCCGGCGCGGAGCATCTGTGGAGATGATGATCCGGAACGACAGGATGTGGAGTGCGCTGCTACGGGGATGCCATCCATGCTTGCCTGACACATGCAGTTATGCAGGCGTACACCCTGTCTAAGGCACTGGTACGAGAAGCGAGGAGGATCAATGATTTTCCGTGTCCACACTTAAGGATCCACCAATCCTCGCTGACTAAAATGTTAACGCTTCAATTTTCCATCTCGAGCGACTTCTTCCAATATATATAGCTATTAGTAGTCCCACTTCTGAAGATGCAAGATATCCATCGCATATGTATGTACACCCACAGGAAAAAAGTGATGAAACAACGAGTGAACACAAACGCGGTTAATCAACAACCATGCCTTTTGAAGGGAGGCCATACAAGGCGTCAAATATTCTTCAGAGGCCGCACTATATACTCTCTTTTTCATTTTTATAATTCAAGCACTTCTCGTCATTGGGGTTGGTGTTAAGTGTAGGCGTTGTTTCCTCACTTTTTTCCCGTGGGTGTATAATACCGATATATGGAACCTGTGCGCCTTAAGTAAGGCTTGTAACCAGAATAAAAGAAAGGCAGATGAACTACCTTATATACATTTCTGAACCCTGTAGACGCTTTTTTCTTCTTCTGGATAGATTGCGGTGAGTTCGGAAGTACATAAGGCATGTTCTTATTTTCTTTTTTGACGTGAGCCATATAACCTAAATGGGAACCGAGAACGTCTTGCAGTGACAAGGCAGAGCAAGACGCAAGTCTACATGGAACGTTTCATGTCTTTCAAAATTTGAATCATGTTCGTTTCAAGCACAGAACCTTGCTGTGAAATTTTACGGCGGAGATATCGAGGTAATTCGTAATTTTCAGCATGCCAAGGCTAGCCCCCCAAAGTTCGGTTGGAGGTATTTTAAATTTCAAGTCCACGTCTATTGTGCGAATACTGGTTTGAGTGGTAAAAATCTTTTAGTATCCTTGTCGAGACATCGTCGATCGAAATTTTTTGTCATTCCCAGACGCCGATATGTTCCTGCTCTCGTGACAAATAAGCTTATGAGATACTTCTAAGATGCAGTTACATAGTAGGCACATGTGCGAGCAACCTTGGCATAGTTGATATAATATACCTGTTTATTCAAAACCGCCCTGCTGGCCTGCCAGCGCTATCCAATACGTTTGCCTTCCCCTGGACCACCTGGCACAAAGCCTCGGGGATGAGGGAATTATTCGTTGTTTTGGACAGGTTTAAATTCTGTCAATCAGTCACAGATGCTTAGATGCAAGGCACGCAGAGCCATTGGCCTCAATGGGTTGGCAGGTATGTCGGGGGACAGAATAAGATGGCCACTAAGCCCCGGGTTTGGCTATGTACGTGTTATGCAGATAAGATTTTTGCCCAACCATTGACTGAGTCAACGGCATTTATTATGGCAGAGATTTATATGTGAACCTCGGTGCTTCCATGGGTTGGCTTTTGGGTTTATGAAAAGAAGTAGTAAATCGAGATCCTTTTGAAACATCTGTTTTTGGTGTTGTGCATGGTTGTTGCCTTGAGATCTTCTGAAATTTGCCACGTGACCAAAAATAGCAATTGCGTGCTCGCGAGTGGTGTCTTGGCAGCATCGAGGCTCAAAATTAAGCTTTTTTAAAAACGCCAAGTATTTACAGTCCAGGGATCCCCAGTCAATCAGCACGCGAGACACTTAATTCACTCTGACTGTGCTGATGACGCAAACTTAGCTTCAACGTTCTTCAGCTGAGATTCAATATATTTTCTTAAGGCACCCCAGATTCTGATCGAATCTATAGACAGGTGCACTGCCTCCTTTCTCTATTCCTTTCTTTTCTTTCTTTCTTTCTCGGGTTCACACCCGATGGCCAACATAGCTGAAAACATGGGATCAACACCGGCAGTTTTGTCTGGTTTTAACAGGTACGTCCCAGGAAACGGTAGATCTCTGAGTAAGGGTGTGACTTTTTCATTACTTTGTGTGTCTTCATGTTTCTTTCCTTCCCCTATTATATTACAAGAACATGCGGTAACATGATAGTCCTGGAAAAGGATAAGAAAAAGACCGCCACCCGTCCATCGTTGCCATCGTAAACGCAAGTCTCATCATAGCATGAAATATACAAAATTTTAGGAAGGAAAAGATTCGAACAACCCAACCAAAAAGTAGGACCGCCACCCAAGAGATCTGATGAGATATATGAGATGTGAGGTAAAAAAAAAAATAAAAAAGATAAAAAAAGATGGGAGACCACCAACAACATTCCCTCATCCCAAGCTACACCACCGTGCCACCACAACCTCCCCTAGGTTTGGGGATGAGTATACACACTAGTAGAAAAAAAACAAGCGCTCCCATATGGGGTCTGCACCCTTCCAGAGTCAAGTGTTTTTTTCAATATTATACTCATCCCCTTGCGACCCGAAGCGAAACCGCTGAGCGCGAACCCACACGCTCAATGGCTCCGCTTGAGCCGCAATAGAAAGCCCAGTGTGAGACCAAGGAGAGGACTCCCTGCAGTCGGACACTGGGCTTTCGAATGATACGTCTCGAACAGTGTCTTTGTTTTTTCCTCCCGCAGCACAACTATTTGGGTTTTATAATTGCCGATTCAATACGCCAATCGTTCGAGTTTCATCGTCAGTCAACAGTATCGCTATCAATGTTCCATGCAGACTCGTTTCCGATGCCGAATGTAGGATGAAAGTTGTGTTGAAAGTCTGAGATGCCGCGATACTGATGTACAGAGTTATCGACATCGTCAAACATAACCCAATCGCCGGTCATCACAGGGTTTGTTCTTGATCCACCTCGATAATCCTCAAAGTCATTTGGAACTATGGATAAGGGGCTTTGGTCATAATCGGTGGTATTAGTCATAGGAGATGCCCACGGGTAATTATTTCCTGGAAGCTGGCTGGGATCCAAGTAATTATCAAGGAATAAAGGAAAGTCGCTAGGCTGTGAAACCTGGGGAATCTCGAGATTCTCATTCGGCATGACTGGCGTCGAAGACTGCGACTCGTTTGCAATAGATGTGTTCTTCTTTCTCCTTGTCGGGGTAACCGGCACTCCCTGATCTCTCCTCCGCGGATTCCTCTTCATTCGCTTGTAGATGTACTGGTGTGCCTTCTCCATGTGTTGTTTACAATTGCTCTCACGCTTTGATTTGTATGGGCAAGGGGCGAATTGGCATTTCCACTCCCTTGAATTTAAGGCATGAATATCATTTTGGTGACGCTCCTTCTCCTTGTTGGTAGGAAATCCTTCAATGTGGTATTTGCAATTTACATCGTCGCATTTGAAAGGACGGTCATGTGTCTTGCGATGTTTCGTCAGGTCGCAAGGACGGGGAAAGGTCTTTTGGCAGAATTCACAGGAATAGTTGGCAGGTTCCTTGGAATTGGCTCGAGAAATTGGTGAAGAGTGAAGCGGAGAACCAGCGCTAATCGCAGAAGTGGGTTCGGATGGGGAGGTTGCGAAACCACCTAAGGCAAGAGTAGAGGTGGCTGTCAAAGATGTCTGCAAAGTTGCTGGAGAATATCCACCATGGCTGATCATGGTAGTAGTCATTCCCAATTGATCACTAGATTGCCATGGCTGCGATATAGTAGGCTGATAATATGCCCGAACATCGCAGGATTGACTTTGAGCGATGGTGTTTTTCGTGTTCTCGTCAAACTGGAAAGTAGAATTGTTGCCTATATGAGTCTGAGGGTGACTAACCAATTGGCAGGAATTGTAAACCTCAGGAGGAACCTGGGTAAGAATTTCAAGCTGTTGTTTGGGTGTATTGTTTTGCCTGAGCTTCGCAACTGGCTTGACAAACGGCCCTTGTGAGTTGAAACTGGCAGGAGTGATCGCTGGTCTTTTAATGCCAGATTCCTCGGCATCAGCCGACAACCTTCGCTTAGATACTCGCTGTTGGGCATTGGAATAATGCATGGCGCCTCCTGATACTAGGGCAAGCTGATCCAAAAAATAATTTTTTGTGTATGGAATGTCTTTCTCCCGAACACGATCTTTCTCAAGAACATCAGGATAGGCATTCTGAATCCCATTGAAGAGAGTATTGAAGAAGTTTTTCGGTGGAACGGTTGGGCTCATATTCTGCACCAGATAGTTAGCGGCGAACCCTGACAAAAAGGAGTACTTTAGGGATGTATCTACATTAACCATATTCATGATGTATTTCTCCACATCTCTCAAACATCGAATTTGCCCTTGATACATTCTTTCCTTCGCACAGGAGAGGACCTTCTGTAATCCAACAAATTCAAGGTTATCGATCATGGGACTAATTAAATGCCTCTCGATCGCGTGGATGCTTTCGAGGTCCATCATTGCCCTGCTTAACTCTGGTTGGGTAGCAAGGAAAGATTTCGGAGATAGAGTTGCCGAGCTCGGTGGAGTGAGCTCTTGGCAAGATGCCACTGTATAAGACGAGCCGGACTCGGGGACGAGGCTTGGTCGGCCCATAAGGCTCCCGTTCCCTAAGCCAGCTTCAGTCTCTAGTGAAGAAGCAGCCGAAATCTTCCTTGCATGCCCTGAAAGCGCCCTTGTTACCGACCCATCGGTGGCAAAACTTTGTAGTCCTGCATTGGCGTAGTTTGAGGCAAGCGTTCCAGGACTACCCATAGTAGACCCAACCCCAGAGTCGCTGATTGGACCCTGCACTACCGGAGCAACAAGAAGTCCCTGAGTAGTTGCTGACTGGGGATGTAGCGACATCTGTTGATGTTCGCTTGGGCTGTCCACAGTAATCTGAACAGGCTCCTGGATGGGTTCCTCTGGGTCCGGCATATACTCTGCTGTTTGAAATCCAGAAGCCCTCATAATGTAATCCAGGTCTTGATCTTCTAAGTCACCAATGGCAACAAATTCCTCGTGTAACATGTCATTGTCATCGGGGTAATTGCTAGCTCCAGGGCTGATGAAAAAAGTAGGCACTGGTTCGTCTTCTGGTCCGGATTCCTTTTGGGGTTCCTTAGACATTCTCTGGGCTTGGTCAAGAGTCTTGAGATGCGGTTCCAGCTTGGACTGCATGCGGTTCATGTATCTCTGTTGATGTTTCTCGATGTCCTTTCCAACCGGATGTGTGTATGATCTAGCCGGCGCGGGCGGAGAAATATTAGGAGACGAACTTGGAGATGGATAGGGCACGGTATGTCGCTTGTGTATCTTCATTGTGGAAGCTATGGCTGGGTGCTGCTGTTGCTGGCCTGGTATCTGCAGAGCTAATCGCGGAACGGGCGATGCACTGCGAGGAGTGGACATGTCGAAATCTTGTTGTCGGTAAGAAACTTTCTTTTGCTCGCTGCAGGAAGGCTGTGTTAGCTTATTTATGTTCTTGGGGTAAAAAGAGTAGTAGGTGGTAGGGCTGTGCGAAGTGCGAAGAGCCAAGCCATCATGAAATGGGAGTGGAAAAACAGATCAAGTGAAATGGATTGATCAAACACATGCTCGATGGGTAGCCAGTCGGTAGAATTGGTATAATGGGAGATAGGGAAGGGAAACACACTGTGATGTTGTTGAGGGTCCAGGAGCTACTATAGTAGACCTAGGGTGTGAGGATAATGTCCTTCTACTAATTTGTAGAGGATCCTGTCAGCTACTTGTACTGTAGCTAGTGACAACCACCAAGTGAATAAATAAAGGACATAAAAACGTGCGAACTTCGAAACAGAATAGTTCGTAAAAACATCAAAAAAGAACAGAAAGGCCCCTCTTCCCCTCTCCGAAGAAAGGTGGGGGTGGGTCATGGGCGGGGTGACGATATACAAGTGTGCACGTACGTGAGTGCGCACCGTTGAGTATACGGATTGCGTGGGTTGTGTGCGCAACAAACAGCGATAACTTGGATCTAAAGTGGAGCAAAGAAACAGCAAGACATAAACACATACCTGGTGTCCTCCTGGTCTTTTACTCCCCTTGACTTTCTGCTTTGCTGTCGTGTATTTGGGAATCCCATTACTGAAGAAGCTGGCGTATAGCTAAGAGATTCCTTACGTATAGGATGTAGGAGCTGTTCGAGTCACAGAGGGTTGTAGGGGTTAACGAGGAAAAATTGCTTTTCTGAAAAAAGAGTCGTAATGCTTTGGCGAATTTTCCAAAGATCGAAAATGATTAATTTTTTTGGTCTTCGATGGAGGGTCCTTTGGCTCGCTAAGTAGTAGCGGTGGATGAGGGTTGGTTATAGCTGACCTGCGGCTAGTAATAATTGAGGCTCTGTGGGTATCCCAGTTTGGTGTGGATGATTCGGTAGTAGCAAGTAACTGAAACCGAATAAAAAGTTGCGCCCGTAAGTGATGGATATCGATGATGACCCCCGATTTTTCCCTGTTGGTCGATCTTTCCTTTTTGCCTTTTTTTACTCGTCGCCGAAGGGAGCTGAAGGGTTAAAGAGGGAAAGATGAAAAGAAAGAAGAAAAAAAATAGAAAATAGAATTCTCGTATGTAGGTAAGTATGTAGGGATGGCGGCGGCCGGAAGAGCAAGGCTGATAAAAATGGGTACTGACTCTCTTTAACAGACAGACGGACAGATCACTCGCTTGCACAGCAACCTCTTGGGATCAGAAATATTGTACAGGACGCAACACAACTGATATACGATATGATATTGCTTGCTTCCTTCCCGACTATTCTAAAGAACGGAAAATCACATTGAATAGAGGGGGCACTGAGATGAAATAAGAATGGGGAAACCAGCCAACTGGGGCTCCGGTTGGAGATGCCATCATACATGTCATGAACCAAGTAAGTAAGTAGCAAGAAGGAAGGGAAAGGTAAGGGGAAGTTTGGCCAATGATGATCCGGCAATTTGGGCGGCTCTCTCTGCAATATGCGCAATGGGTGAATTGGGTTCTGACTGAGCCCGCTCTGAGGAGGCTTCGTGAAAGAGAGCGATGGGAGACTGTTTCTGTGGAGGGCAGTTCAACCTTCCTAGGCGCACAGCTTCCCATATTGTAACGTGCAGTGGGCTGTTGCCTAGCGACTACCCCTGTCTTGCAGTTGGCCCAATAACATCCCCCGTCCAGGCTGGGGCAGCGCAGCGCATATCATTAGTTCTCCCAAGTGAAGCGAAGGGACTAGAGGTCGGAATATCATGCTGTCATCCAAAAGAGCCCCGAAAGCGAAAACTTGAAGGCCGTTGCTGCAAACAAATCAACAGAAGCTGGTCAAACGTCCGGTAGAGGCGTGCGTTTCACGGCTTTCGGGCTTGCCATTTGTTCTCAAAACGCCCTTTTCTTGTGGCCAAGATCCACAAGTGACCAACACCTCCGTGATACCGAGTAGCATTTTTTGGTGGGTATGGGTAGAGAGTGCTTTCTGCCCCTTTACCTACATGTACTTACCGCACTGTCGTTGAAATTTCCCAGTGAATCGTGCGTGGTTCTTTTGCCCCGAGGGCCCTGGGGCTCGATATCTCTCCTTGATTTTTATTTTTTATTTTTTCAGTTTGAAGCGGCTATGGGTTACTGCGCGAGTCAAAGGCGCTCCTTATTTTAACGCGACCCAACCCAAGCCATTTACCGCTGAAGCCGCTGGAGTTAAACTGCCAAACTCGGCAGCAGAACCTATTTACACATGCAATATATGGACGGGGTAGATGCTCGGATAATGTGTTATCATGATATAAAGATAGATGGTTCCCAATTCGGTCTGGGGATAGTAGAACGTGGACTCGAGTAGTCTTTCTTAACATATCGAGTGCATTACCCAAGAGGGCAGTACATAATGTATGAACAGATATATGGCGCGGGGAGGGGACCAAATGGCGAGTGAGGAAGGGGGAGGAGGGGTGAAGTCGGATGGGAACACAAACAAAGATGGGTGAATGGTGATTGTGAGGGCCTGTACCGGAGCCAGTCGAGCATGGAGTGGAGGTGCTGGTGCTGGTTGCTGTCTGCACTTAGTACTGCTTAGTGATAGAGCCCCCCACGAAAGACTCATAAGCCACGATGTGCACCCCGCTGCTGCGTGTGAGTGCTGCGTGTTGCTGCGGGTTAACAGTCACCAACCCATGCATGGACACGGGATCCCTGCGCAGAGCCTCAACACCTGATCGTGATCTGCACCCGTCACATCTACGTACATACATTTGAGTTCTGCTCAACTCAACATGATCGATACCGTGCTGAACTGATTGGGCCGTATTATTATCTCATACATAAGTAGAGCCCCAATAGGTAATCATTCAGTCTTCGTCCGACTAGCATTACTAAATTTGACTGAGGTTGAGTCCTACTGACATCTGCCATGAGGGATCGACGATTCAACGATAAAGTGCCTACATTAAGTACATGTACCTATGAGAATTGGAGGATTTCTGCTTACCTACTCTTCTACATGTAAGTTACACACTTATAATTATCCTGTGTCTACATATAGGCACTTGCGTCCGTACAGTTAAAACTACATGTACGTGCTGCCCGTGAGTCCAATGCTCGTAATACTCTGGATTAAGTCCATGGATCCAAGTATGATCATGATAGGTAGACAGATACAGTAAATCATGGAAGATCACGAATTGTAAAGAGCCTCGGTTGACCGACATTACTTGGATGGAACGCTGAAACATATTAAACCCCCCTGTTCAAACTCACCTGCTAAGTGACAGTCCGCACCGTACCATGGCTGCGCTCCACCCTCTCTCACTCCGGGATCTTGTTCGTCAAGTAATGGTTGTAACACACGCACACACGCACACATACGCTTCCTCCCCTCCTCCCCGCCCCACGGATTAAGAAACACATGCGAGAAACAACAAAAAACCAGTCATCAAGGGCCGCGGATCTTCTCCCTTTACCCTCACGGGCTTGGAACCCAACCACCCACCACTTCCCTTCCCCAGTCTCTAATTCATGCGTTCCAAACTGTCGGGAAGAAGCGGCGGTCAATCAAGCGGCAGCGCCTAATCCTTTGCGGCGAATATGCGCAACAGCCAGCTAGCTGCCATTCTGCACAACAGTAGAGTAGGTACTTTGCTGTCCATATCCGATGTCTGTGTTCTATTCCGATCAGTGTCTAGAAAAAAGAAAAAAACACGGGCTCGTCCCCGGGTTAGACCAGAAAGTCCTCCCGAGAACAGAAAGGCCATTACGAAAGGACAAATACATGTAGATACAATAATACAATACACCTGCATCTCCTAAGGCTACGAAATGGTATAAAGATCATAATAATAGTAACAAAAAACTACATGATGTAGCTATTTCGAAACTCTTCTCTCGCGAGGAAAAGAAATATCGGCTCCTCAACCCAGACCCGGGAACAGCATAGCATCCTCCTTACCTCCGCTTCCAACTACCATGCGAATATGCGAAGCTTCCAGTATCGCTACCGGGAACTTGACACTGATCACGGCTGTGTTGTGCGAGTTCCTTGCATGCTGCTCCGTGGTTAAATTAGCGAACGAATTGCCAGAGTCGGTGGCAGAGGCTGAGGACTCAAGAAAAGCCCGGGCGGTTACAACACGAAAAGGAAATTTCCCCACCACCTGTCACCTCGCAGTGGCTGAGGATAACCTGACATTCCCCGCATCCACACACCGCACAAGTTCACTTCGGGCTTGAAGCGATAACAAGGACATGCCAGAAAGAAGTCCATCACCACCCCTCCTCTTTCGTCACCAGCATGAGCGTGGCTCGTGCAAACGAGACACGCACGACAGCCGCAGTGTATGACGCCATGTGAAGATGGGTCTAGATACGATCGATATTCAGAAGGTAAAGGAAGAATCCGAAACGAACCCCATACACACACACCACTCGTACACATGATATCCAGATCTTCCGGTAATCGACTATCGATCTAGGAGGTTTTACCAGAATCCGGGATTACGGACGGGCTGAGTATCATGGAAATTCACCGAAGATAGCAGAGCATTAGTTTAACGCACGGTGGGTAGAAATTGGGACATCGCAACATCAATCAGGACTTAAACAAGTACGAAAGGCAGACTCCCAGCCCTTTACCATGTCCCCGAAATTAAACGGTGCAGAAATCATGTGGAGTAGAGATGAAAATAGTAATAAAAATCTACTACTCGGAGGCGTCCCCAACTTCAGCTCTACTCTAGATACGGTACTGTATGTATCGGTAGCTTTCTCCTGCTTCAGGCAAGATAAAACAATTAGCAGTTTGCTTTTTCGATGCTCGGGATATTCCATAATTCCCTGGGACCCTTCCATCCGAGAGGATGAAAGTAAAAGAATCGAATATGATACATACTCTCCATACTCGACAAACTCGCATCCAGGATGTTGGTAGGAGT